GATAACGCTGACTTCCACGCCGTTTCTCTTCCGGACTTCTTTGGGTGAGTCTTCTAGCTTTTCTTAGCTGTAGAGACTGAATCCCACCTTCGTCGCCAGTGTTAAGTCCGGAGAATAATGGCGCTTGAGACGAATCATCTCCAACAAGTCTTTATTGTTTGCTCCACTCTACGAACAACCCGAGCAGAGGCACGCAGGCCTCTATTTATACCCTCTGATCCCCGGGCAAGTTCAACCAATCATGAGGCGGGCTTTTCCCGCCTTGCACATGCGCACAAGGCTGGCGCCGCTCAGTCTGGTCTCGGGCAGCTTCTGCAAATGCCCGGGACTCTTGCAACGTCCCGAGCCTGCCTCTTGCAGGCTCAGGACACAACAGTAACCATGGGGCTCTAACTGTGGACTATGAATTCCTGCATCTTACCCTCCTCCCAGGCTATTTGGAATGTGGTCTGCTGGTCATTAAAAGACCCATAGACCCATGCTCAGAAATAGTCATAGTGATAAGTTACTGGTATGAAGCTCTTCCATACCAGTGACTTGTCAGATGGACAACTTCAAAGATGGTTAAGTTCTCCATCTCAGGTATTTAGCCACCATCACACGTCTCCCCATCACACTTTAAAGAGAGTGATTGCTGGTGGTTTTCCCACTTGTTGATGACACAGGATGGGCGGGGGGGGGGAGGGGGGGCAACAATGAAGCTAAGGGGATCTACACATTGCTGTCCTTAAATTGTCCTGGAATAAAGCTTTAAGGACAAGACCACTTGCAGGCCATATGCAGATTAGCATTCCTTCCACTGAATGGTGGAGGATAGAAGGATTTATATTCCTTGCAGTCATCTGGTCATTAGCTCTCTTTTTGAGAGTTGTTGAGGCCACTTGAAAGTTTATCGGTGCTCTCAGGCTCACCTGAACAGTGCAAATGGGTGTGGAGCCTTCTTGGAACTGTTGAAAGTTTCCACACCCATTTGAACAATTCAGGTGACCCTGAGGGCACAGATAAACCTTCAAGTGGCCTCAAGGACTCTCAGAAAGAGTCTAATGACCAGATGACTGCAAGGAATTTCCATCCTCCACTATTCAGTCAGAACTGAAGAAGCTTCTTGGATGAGAAATGAAATGTCTTCAAGGAAAAACAAAGTCCAGTTACTGTTTGAAAAAGCACCTTTGGGACAACTGTGACCTGGATGACTGAGAATCTCCAGACACATTTTTTCACTGGTGATATTTTGGGATGGGAGGAAAACAAATTCTAAGGAATCCATCAACCCTATATCACAGTGGCTATATAAGCAGGTACAATAGGCTGTGAGATCAGCAAGTTTTATACTGTAGTGGTTTCTGCTGACTCATAAATAAAACTTTAACTCAGCAGTGGAGAATGGCCCTCTAGCTAAATCCATTTCCTCACCAGTGATTTATAACATTCTTCTACTGTCATTGTGCTGAGATAACAGTAATGAGGGCAGGCTTTATAACCGGCTGGGTTATATACTACAAGATGCTGCAAATCACCAGGAAGGAATGGCTGTAGTGTACTTTTTTTAAAAAAAAAATGGCCTTGATACAAAATGCAATGAGAAAAAAAAAATAAGGAAGAGAGAACGGGAGATAATGACTTTATATCTGTAGGATATCAGATTGAGGAAGCCAGTTATAAACCAAAGCTGGAAATTACATACTCCTGAACCACGTTTTTTGGTCTCAGTAATACAGCATAGTAACCCTTGATTAATTAAACTGAATTAACTTAATAACACTGAAGCCTAAACTGCTCAGAAAGGTTTACTGAGCAACACATCTGGTGCAAATCCAGTGAATATGAGGTACTTTGATGTCTGGGTGGTAACAAAATCTGAAAAATCATTGGAATTTGATGGCAGATAAATTTAACAAATTATTATGGTGGATTGCGCAGTCAGCCAGATGTCCAGACTGGATTTAGCAGTTTTAGCTACCTTCCCAAGGACCTGGGATAGTTAGACCTTGTTGTTTGATGATGTTAAGGGCATTGATGCAGGCTGTGAGTTGTTCCAAGTAAAGTTGCCTTTTGCAATTGACTGATGGTGCTTTTGTCAATGCCAATAGTGTTCAAACAATAATCCAGATGTTTGGGTTTGCCCTGAAGGCACCTTTCATTATTGGTAAACAACTTTTCTTCCAGTACTCCTGCAGATGCTGTCCCTGGTTGTTCAGCGAGGAATTGCTAAGTTTTGTAGCCCATTTGTTACTAGATGTCCAGGAACTCCAATAACTAGCGCAGTCCTATTATTATTAAATCTGCTATCTTGTGAGAGGATCCCTCTGCCTTCATTTATGCCTTGTGGTATAGCTGTGAATAAATTGAATATTGCAGTTATCTGTCCCCCGTTTGTAGAAAATTAAATTTATCAGTGTGACTCTTTGGAACTGATTATTCATCACTTCTGGATATCTTTATAATACATCATTACCTGTGGCTATATCTGATAGCAAGCATTTCCTCCAGCCACCATAAATCCCAAGCTATTGGTTATCTTTAAGAGAATTTGATTTATTCTTTTGGAACCATAATTGGGATGGATGATAGAAGATCAACCTAAATCTCTCTTGAACTAGGGCAGCTCTCGTAAGTTTGCTCTTGCTTAGTGCCCCCTAATTTCTGTGCCCAAATATGCCCACTAGGTGGTGCACTCACAGGATTACCAGCCACTTGATCTGCTTTGCCAGTCCTAGCAAGGTGAGGAGACAGATGATAAGGTCCAAGAGCAGCAATAGGATGTAGGCCAACCACCTGAGGGAGTTAGAGAGCAGCAGAGTAAATAAAAATGAAGAAGTGTTCTAATCGTCAGGACATTTCTCCTTGTTCCTAGGCTGGATCTCTCCTTGATTACTTTCAATCCATTGCTTCTTGTCCTGCCTTTAGGTGCTTTGAAGAATAGGTTGACACCCTCCCCTTCTTTGTGGCAGTCTCTGAGATGTTGGAAGATTGCTATAAGAGTCCATCTTCTGTCTATTTTGCCCTATTGTGGCATCTTTCATGCCCAAACAGTTGCTGCCTCATTTTCAACCAGCATGCCATGTGCTTCAACCCTCATTTCTCCTAGTCATCTCCACTTGGGTCAATTCAACCCACCTGTGCTTCCTTGGATTATATTTTCCTCTGTGCTGTTCTATTTTCCTAACTCCAGATTAAGATCAGATCATTATTATCTGCAGGAAAAAAACCAAGATGGAATCCCTCCTGTTTAAGGAACAAAACTGACTGGACCAATGTTGAATTTTTCTACAATCATGGAGATGAGGCAGAATTCTCCCCTGAACCTGAAAGAATCAGGGTGCTTTATGGACACAAATATAAGCAGCATTCAGCCCTGATTTCCTCCACCCACTCTCTGCTTTCAACCACCCACTGAAGCAGCTCCCCGTCTTAGCCAGATAGTGAGGCGTAGTTTCTGCAACAATTCTTTCCTTAAGTTGGTTCCTATACTGTTATCAGATTTATTTTCATTAAATCATAGCCTCTCCACAGTCTTGAATCTTACCGGTAGTCTTCCAAATAGCCAACTTGTTCTGCTAGGATGCTGGCCCCTCCACGGGCCTCTTTCCAGAAGGGGATGCCATCCAAGGTCTGTGCTACTGCCTTGGCCTGGCGGCGTGTGTTCCGAACCACAGCCACCAGTTCAGTCCTCTGGGACAGCGTCTCCTCAAGCTGTGTCAGTTCCCCCCGTATTGTGGCTGAAAGGAGCGCCACAGTTTCAGAAACCTATATGGGTGTAAGAAGAGGAACATGCTGAGGTACATCAAGAGGAAGAGGGTCATGTATATTATATGGTGTTGTGAGACATTCAAGGTCTTGGCAGCGAACTGTAGATGTTCATCTACATGAAAAAGTACACGAACAAGTTCATGACAGTATCATTTGCCAAATGTTCCTGTTTCACCAGATAGCTCACAGCCAAGCTTCTTCTCAAGAATATACTATTTTTCCCCAGCCATCCAACTTAAAAACAGGGCAATCACCAAGAGCTTCCCATGAGCCACCATGATGAACTGATGCCCCCTAGAACAGAGAGACTCATTGTGGTTGAAAATGACACTTGAACGTGGGATTTGGGCTGCCAAAATCTCTCTGGAGAAAGGAGAGATTGCAGGATTACCCCTATGTATTCCAGACAGTTGTTTTTTGTGTATGAGCTGTTAGCTTGGAATTGGGTAGAAGTCACTGATTCCATTGTGCTTATAGCTGCTTAATGTCATCTATACCAGAGGTCCCCAACCTTTTGGGCACCAGGGATTGGTTCCATGGAGAGAGGTTTTTCCGTGGACTGGAGGGTGTGTGGTTTTGTGTGCTTCCTGCATCTCGCAGATGGAGCTTTGCTTGTTTGTGTGGCCCGGTTGCTGGCATGCCGTGGCCCGGTACTGGCCCATGGACTGGGGGTTGGGAACCCCTAATCTATACAGATTCTAAGTTTGAATGAGACTCATCTTTTAATCATTTGGGATTTAATCTTTTTGCTTTTTTTTTAAAGATTGAGAACCTTCAGACTGGCAAGTTTTATTGAAATCACCAGGTGAGTTTTCTCAAAGGATTACCTTTGAGAAAAAAATTTTAAATACAAGTTTAAAGATTTGTAACAAAAAAAATCGGGGGGGGGGGGATATACAAACACACCAGAATGATGTAGCATTGGCTTTAATTTTTTTAAAAGAGATTAAGGACTCAAATAAACTTGATTTAAGACTTTGAAATTAATTGAAAGGATCCTTTCTCATGGGAAAATTTCTGTTTGTACTTCAAAATAACTGATAAGACAATGTTTGGACACTAGAGGGCACCAGATGGCTACTTTAAAAGAGTTTTTTTTAATGAATGGGTACAATTATTTACCTTTACAGAAGAATCAGAAGTTGTTGCTGAAGAAAAACAAACCCCTTGAATAAAATTGAAATTGATTTGCAGGTGGCTTCAGAAATGATAACTAACAAGGAAGAAATGGAAATAGTGGATTTACAAATGAAATTAGATGATAATTTAATGATTTAAAAAGACATGCAAATAATAAATCAGAAGAGTGATGTGGATTTTATTTTTACATTGGATTTACAAATGGGATTTGCTGAAATTGACACACTTGAACTACCAAAGAGGTTTGATAAAAACACCAAGAATTTTGAGAGAATAAACAAAAAAAGTATGAGAAAACATATATTAAAACTTTCTCTGAGGAATATAAAGATCATTGGAAGAAAGAATATATAATTTGTTTATTTGATCAAGGTTAAAATAATGGGTTGCTGTTTCTGGTTAAAATTTATTTTACCCAAACTTCGAACTTTCCTTCCAAGGAGTATCCTTCTGAATCTTTCCACCTTCAAAGATCAAGTAGATGGAACATCCATGATAGTGCCCTTGCTACACTGGCATTAGAATTCCCCTCTCTATCTTTCTTCGGATTCTTGCTCTTCTGACTAACTTGAGGACTGTTTTGTTTTATGGAGTAGAGTAGACGATTGAGATTTTATTGCTGCATTCTCTAGGCTATTCAGTATTTCATTTTATCAGCTGCTCTTGCTTTATGAATGTTTTTATCAGATTTGATTGTTGTGTGCTTTTTGTTCTTAAGTACTTTGGGAGGCAGCAGAAAGGTTATAAATATTTTAAAATAAACAACCAAGAAAATTGCAAATAGATTTCCAACAGAATATCATTACTTTCCCTGCAGTAGATGGCTGCAAGAGAATGTACCATACCTGTCACACTCTGTGTTCATACAGGGAACCATGAATCCAACTGGCTTAGTAGCCTTTGATGGGGAGTATGTGTCCCACACAATATGCCCCAGAATCCTTTGCAACATGCAAAGTACTGCAGTGGGGTTTCCTCAGCAAATGAGTAAATATGAAAAAGACATTTGCTTTCGGTGGAAAGCGTATGAAACCTGTTATGTTTTGGGCTGTGATTGACACAGCAAGTGCAGGAAGTTGCAGAGAGTCCCAGGCAGACCATGAGGCTGCCCGGGCCAGACAGGCTGTCTCCAGCCTATTGCGCATGCGCAAGGCCGGAAAGATATGTTGCATTGATTGGTTGATGCTGCTCCCTGCAAGGGGGTATAAAAGGGATCCGTGCCATTTTGTGTTGTTCTGTTGAAGATTGAATAAAGAAGCAACTGTTGTTACTCCTGTCTCGTCTCAATGCCTTACCAACGCTCAGAACAGAACATTGGCGACGAAGGTGGGATCGTGCTGCAAGAAAACAACGAAAGAAAATAGGCTGACTCACCACGGAAGGCCCAAAGTGCTTGGAAGTTTGGCGTTCCGATTCGTGCGACTCTGCCTACCAGTACGAAGACACTGGAGGAGAGCTCAGCAAGATTCGTCCTGGAACCCCTTCGCAATGAGGCATTGACGAGGCTGCCAAGAAGTAACGATGTCGAAGATAGGGCGTTTGTCCGAATTCGATACAGCTCACCCTGAACGTTGGAGCTCATACGTGGCCAGAGTAAAAAACTACTTCCGAGTAAACCAAGTTCGGGAAGACGGGCTCAAAGCCGCAACGTTACTGTGTGTCTGTGGGCAAGAGACATTTGATATTGCCGAAAATCTGGTTGCCCCAGCATCTCTGGAATCCATCACTTATACTGAGCTGAAGAAAATGTTAAGGGAACATTTTGAACCAAAGCTATCGGTGAGTGCCTGGCGTCACGCATTCGAACAGCGGGACCAATGGCCAGGAGAGTCTGCTGCAGACTTTATTGCTGTGCTGCGACAAGCTGCTAGGCCCTGTGAGTTTAAAGACCTGGAGGAAAGACTTCGAGATCGTCTAGTTTGTGGCTTGAGGATCCGTGAGCTGCAGCAAAAGATTTTTGCAAAGGAAGACGTTTCCTTCCAGGATGCACTAAGGGAGATCACGGCTGACAAAGCAGCAGGAGGTGCAGTCAAGGCCTTGCGGCTTTCCAAGCATCCTAGGAGTTCAGGCTCTATCCATCAAGAGGTTGCTCGAGAGGTAGCTGATCCTGATTCCGAAAACGAGGTCGACCGTCTACAGCAGCCAGCGGAGAGAAGGCTCCAAGAGCGAACCGACAAGGGAGCTGACAAGGCAGTTCCATTCCCTCGGAGTTTCGGATGTGGAGGCCGCCACAAGTGCTCCGATTGCCGATTCCGCTCTGCCATTTGCCGGGCATGTGGCCGGCAAGGCCACATAGCCGCCGTCTGTTTGGGTCGCACAAAAGACCATCCTTCGGAAGAATTGCCTCGGAAAGGTATCAGGGTCCCCAGCCAGAATAGGGTGGGTTTCTGCGCGTCCCATAGGAGTGTTTTGAGAACCGGGGCCCACAGGCCATTGAAGAAAAAGCTGCACATTGATGTTAAATTGCAGGGGGTCCCCTTAACAATGGAGCTGGACACAGGTTCAGCTCTGTCAATCATGTCTCAGGACACCCTTAAGCAAATCTGCTACAGAAGCGGCCAGTGAGTTAAACTCAGGCCATCGAATCTGGTCTTAACAGACTTCCAGAATTCCCAAGTCAGGGTAAAAGGGGAGACCATGCTCAAGGTGCAGCGTAGGAATTTCGAAGGGTTCCTGGATGTTGTTGTGGTAGAGGGCGACCACACGAGTCTAATTGGACTCGATTGGTTCGAGGCACTTGGGATTCAAGTGACTGGGCTACACAGCTTGCAAACGACAGGCCTTGAGGAAGTTTGCAAGGAGTTTGCTGATGTGTTTAGCCCAGAACTAGGGTCGTACAAGGGGCCTCCAATTGCCTTGCGGTTGGACCCATCCATTGTCCCGATTAGAATTAAGCCTTGTCGGGTGCCTTTTGCGCTGAAGCAAAAGATTAATGCTGAGCTGGACAAACTGCTCCAGCAAGGTATTTTGGAACCTGTGGATAGCAGTCCATGGGAAACACCCATAGTTACGCCACTGAAGGCCAATGGGGAAGTCTGCATTTGTGCTGACTATAAATGCATGTTAAACAAAGCATTACAGCAGCACTCTTATCCGGTGCCTGTGGTGAGCCACATTTTGGCCTCGCTGAAGGGAGGCCGAGTTTTCGCCAAACTTGATTTGGCTCAGGCCTATCAACAGCTACTGGTTGATGAGGCAACGGCTGAGGCCCAGACGATCATAATGCACCGGGGAACTTTCAAAGTCAGAAGACTGCAGTTTGGGGTTAAAGTAGCCCCTGGCATTTTCCAAAGCGTTATGGAGCGAACGCTCTGTAACATTCCGGGAGTTTGCCCTTACTTCGATTATGTCCTCATCGCAGGGGAATCACCTGAAAGCTTGGCTGAGAGGCTTCGGTCCGTTTTGCTGCGGTTCCGCGAAGCGGGGCTGAAGCTTAGGCAAGACAAATGCAAAATTGGAGTCACTTCCACTGAATTCCTGGGGTTTCGTATAGATGCAGAAGGCATCCATCCTGCTGAATCTAAGCTCAAAGCGATTCAGCAGGCCCCAAGCCCCAAGTTGTTGTGGCTCTGTCCGGTGGGTCCCTCTCATCAGAGGAGGAAGGCTCTGAACATGAAGGAGAGGAGATGGCCAGGCCTCCCTCTCCAGGCCCTTCCCCTCTTGTGCGGCCTTCGGTGCCTTCCGACGGAGAGGAGTTTGGCCAGGAGCCTGGTGTTTCTGGGATTGGCCAGGAGCCCGGTGCTTCTGGGATTGGCCAGGAGCCCGGTGCTTCTGGGATTGGCCAGGAGCCAGGTGCTTCTGGGATCAGCCAGGAGCCAGGTGTATCGGACTCCGGAGAGGATACGTCTTGGCTGGAT